ACGTCCCCAGAAATTCATCCATAGGGATTGGGGTGGTGGAGGGGACAGGCAATGATGTCCCAGGAGCTGGGGACATTGAAAGGGCCATTATCATCTCCAGGGGGCATCAGATGGGGACACAGATGTCCCTGGGATCTGGAGGCACCAAAGGGAACTGGTGATGCCCAAGGCTATTACAGAAAGATGAGGATGTCCCCTTGATGTGTGGACAGCAGAGAGGGACACCTCCATGCCTAGGGACACTGGAGCAGGGTGTAGTGTCCCCAGGAGATGGGGACACTGGGGGGACAGGTCCATGCCTGAGGAGGTTGAATGGGGACAAGAGTACTAAGGGGACACTGCAGGGTTATGCTGATGTCCCTAGGAGCTGATGCCATCAGAGAGGGACAAACCCATGCTTGGGGCCATTGGAGAGGGACAGTGATGTCCCCAGGAGCTGGTGCCATCAGAGACGCAGATCTGTGCTTGGCAGTGTTGGATGGGGACGATGATGTCCTCGAGTGCTAGGGGACATCGGAGGACGATCTGCCATCCCCAGGAGCTGATGCCATCAGAGTCAGCTCCATGCTTGGGAATGTTGGGTGAGGACAAGGATGTCTCCAGCAGCTGGGGACATCAGAGGGGGATGCCAATGTCCCCAGGTAGTATTAGAGAAACAGAGCCATGCTTGGCAATGTGCGTTGGGGTCAATGATGTCCCCAGGAGCCAGGGGACACTGGAGGGGCATGCTGGCATCCCAAGGAACTGGTGCCACCAGAGAGGGACAGATTCATGCTTGGACTTGTTTGATGGGGACAATGATGTCCTTGCAGCTGGGGACACCAGAGGGAATGCCCATGTCACCAAGAGCTGGTGCCTTCAGCAAGGGAGGGCGGATGGGGGACATCAGAGCGGGGCTTCCACCGCCGGCGGCGCCTTCCTCCCCTCCTCACCATCCTCTCCCCCCCGCCAGGAGACGGACCAGCTGGAGGAGGAGAAAGCGGAGCTGGAGTCGGAGATCGCGGAGCTGCAGAAGGAGAAGGAGCGCCTGGAGTTCGTGCTGGTGGCCCACGCGCCGGGCTGCAAGCTGCCCTTCGAGGACGTCGCCGAGCTGGCCGCCAGCGCCAGCGTCACGGTGCCCAGCGCCCAGGAGGTGAGCTCTATGGGGCTGCCGGGCAAAGAGGAGCCGTTCGGGCCCGCCGCCTTCCTGCCCACGGTGGTGGCCTTCCAGCAGAGCCAGGCCCCCGGCGCCCCGTCCTGCCCCAGCTGCTGCTCCGCGCCCGGGCCGCCGCCTAACCCCTCCTCTACGTCTCCGTTTGTGTTCACCCACCCAGAGGGAGCCTCCTGCGGAGCCTCGCACCAGCGGAGCAGCGGCAGCGACCAGTCCTCGGACTCCTTGAATTCTCCCTCGCTCCTCGCGTTGTAAAAGCCCCCTCCGCGTCCCCCCTCCTGCCCCCTTTTTCTGCCACCGCCGCGTCCACCGAAAGCTCAGGGGGCTGCTGCCCTGGGGAGGGGGGTTGGTTGGTTGTTCTGGTGATGATCCCACCGCTGGATCGTCGGTTGGAAGGGGGTTTGGGTGGGAGCCGTGTGGCATCTCCGTTGTCCCCCCAGGAGGGTCTTTGTGGCCCAGCTCTTGTCCTTGAGGTGTCTAGGCATCCTCTCCATCACCCAAGAGGTGTCCAGCCATCCTCTTCCTTGTCCCAAGAGGTTTCCAGGCATCCTCTTCCTCATCCTGGAGGCGTTTGTGCACCACTGCCATCTTCCATAAACATCTGGGCACCATCTTCTTTGGCCAACAGGTGTCTATGCACCATTTCCATCTTTCCATAAGGGTTCGAGCATCCTCTTCCTCATCCTAGCAGCATCCGTGCACCACTGCCATCTTTCCATAAGGGTTTCAGCATCCTCTTCCTCATCCTAGAGGCGTCCGTGCACCATTTCCACCTTCTCATGAGGGTTTGGACATCGTTGTCCTTGGCTTAGGGGGGTCTGGGCAGCATCTCCCTTGTCCCAGCAGGTTCCTGGGGCCTCTCCATCATCCCAAGAGGGTCCGTGCATCCTCAGCCTTGTCCTGGAGGCTCTGTGCAGTCTCTCTGCTGCCCTCCTGGTTGGACCTCCAGCGCTTTGGAGGCCCTTCTATCCTATTGGGAGGTCCGTGCCGCATCTCCAGCACCTCTGAGGTGTCTGTGCTGTATCCCTAGCATCCCAGGAGGGTCCAGGCCACCTCTCTGTCACCCCAAGAGGGCCTGGGCGGTCTCTCTGTCACCCTCGGGGTGTCTCCAGCACCTCGCAGGGCTTCCCCAGCACCCTGGGGTCCATGTAGTATCGCTGTTGCTGTTGTGGGGGGGTCTCCAGCGCCTTGCGGGGCTCCCTGTCGCTGTGGGGTCCCTGTAGCCTCTTCATCATCCCAAGGGGGGTCCATGCAGTGTCTTGGTTGACCCTCTCGGGGGGTCTCTGGCACCTTGAGGGTCATCTCCATCACCCTGGGAGCCCATCCCACGGGCCTGAGGTGTCCATGCAACCTCTTCAGCATTCCCAGAGGGCCCATGCGGGATCTCCATCGCTCTTGGAGTCCATTTGATGCCTCCATCGCCTAGAGGTGTCCATACGACCTAGAGGTGTCCGTATGACATGAAAGGGGGGACATCCCCATCACCCTGGGGATCCTGAGGACATCCCCAGCACCCTGGGGGTCCCAGCACCATCTCCATCCCCCTGGAGTTGCTTGTACCCCATTGCTGCCACCCTGGGTGGCTGTCCCTGTCACTCCGGAGGTGTCTCCGCCACCTTGCAGGAGGTTGCATGGCATCTCTAGCACCTTGGGGTGTCCCCACGTCCAAAGGGGGGGTCCCTGCCCTGTCCCCAGGACCCCCTCGCCCTGCGCCGTCCCTCTTGCGTGACCAAGCTTTGCCAGCGTTGACTCTGTTCTCTCTCTATATATAATATATATATTTTTGTTGCGCGCGGCCGGCTCCGCGGG